ATGAGAATCTGATGGTGTTCAATGCCGATAAATGCAAGTTTCTCCACCTTGGGAAGAAAAACCCGCAGCATCCTTATAGGCTCAGCAGTGCTATGTTGGCTAGCACTATGGAAGAAAGAGACTTGGGGGTCATCACTGACCACAAGACGAACATGAGCCTGCAGTGTGATGCTGCAGCTAGTAAAGTGACCAAAATGCTGGCTTGCATCCCTGGATGCTTCTCAAGCAAATCCTGCGGCGTCATTCTCCCCTTGTACTCGGCCTTAGTGAGGCTGCAGCTGGAGTACTGCGTCCAGTTTTGCGCTCCACAATTCAAAAAGGATGTGGAGAAGCTTGAGAGAGTCCAGAGAAGAGCCACGCGCATGATCAGAGGTCAGGGAAGCAGACCCTACGATGACAGGCTGAGAGCCCTAGGGCTCTTTAGCCTGGAAAAGCGCAGGCTCAGGGGTGATCTGATGGCCACCTATAAGTTTATCAGGGGTGACCACCAGTATCTGGGGGAACGTTTGTTCACCAGAGTGCCCCAAGGGATGACGACTAGGTCGAATGGTCATAAACTACTACAAGACCGTTTCAGGCTGGACATAAGGAAGAATTTCTTTACTGTCCGAGCCCCCAAGGTCTGGAACAGCCTGCCACCGGAGGTGGTTCAAGCGCCTACATTGAACACCTTCAAGAGCAAACTGGATGCTTATCTTGCTGGGATCCTATGAACCCGGCTGACTTCCTGCCCTTTGGGCAGGGGGCTGGACTCGATGATCTTCCGAGGTCCCTTCCAGTCCTAATGTCTATGAAATCTATGAAATCTAAGGTGAACCTTAAAAATGTGGAAATAGGCCTCTGTGAGGTTATGCAACACACAATTCATGGATGTTAGTGGTGCAGTTGTTTAGAACCATAAAAGTCCTTGCCAATCCTGATATGGATCTAATCTTATGCAACAGGTAGCAGCATGTGGCAAAAAAATTGTAAAGGAAAGCAGGATACAAGGGAGGTGCCCATCTTGACTGACTTCTAGTGCCCACTGGCTTATTCTGGTTCTAGTCCAAGTTTGTAAAAATAAATGAAACCTGTTTCTCATAAGGAAGGCCTATGTTGCACCAGGGACACTTTATTTTGCATTCCGATGTCTGGAAGAAAGATGGGAAGTATCTTGCATTTGTGGAAAGGCCTGATAAGAAATTTCCAAAGAATTGAAACCTGCCTAGCTCTTGATTTTTGCATCTTTTGCCATAATATTGAAATACTAGGATTCATGTCTTTTTTCTTTTGCTTCTGGTGGAAACTTAAAAATGTTAAGACCTGCTGCATCCTTTATAGCTTCTTCCAGAGCATCATCAAACATTGCCTGCTGCCCGAAGACTGAATTGGTTTTGTAGACTGCACTAGGTCCTTAAGAACTCATTGAAAATTATCTTTCTGGCTATAGTCAAACAAATGAGAAAGCTGAAAGAAAAGCAAGTATCGTTATCAAGGGAAATCACCATATATGAAGAAAAATGCAGAGCATGGGAAGTTTAGTGTCTTTTTTACATTTTGCCATGTGCACATCTGAAAATTGATTGAGATGAAAGAAGCCCTGGAAATCAACATGCTCCTCCAAAAGACTTTTGAAATGGTAACTTTTCTTTGGAGAAGGCAACCAAATTGTTTACCTGACCCTTAGCAGTAATAACACCATCATCAGATATAACTACCCATTCAAGTAAATGAGAGAGGCATCTGTTTTCAGGATAGCCTCAATGTTGTGCCTTTTTTATCTACATTAATTCCATAAAGTTTTTGTGGTAAGAGATTTATTTTTCTTGTCACATAGCCATTCAAAATCAAGTCTGCTTTAAAGGAACTTGGGAATCAGGAAGTCCATTTAATCTTTCACTTTCTCCATTTCAGATGGGTTCCTGGAAAGATTTTCTATTCAACAGTGGAAGCTTTGTTTAGGTATACACACCTTAGTGTCCAGGAAGGGGTTAAAAGAGGCTTAACAGGCCCCACCCTGCTACACCTGCAATAGGAAACAGGACTGGAGGGAGGGCTTAAAAAGAGGAAACAGCTCAGTTAGGGTGTGCATGTGTGCTTAAAAAGTTGCTAGTAAATCAAATGATAATTTCCTGACAAACCTGCCTCATGTAGCAAAGGCTTATCTACAAGTGCTGAGTAAATCTATTGTTACTCCATGTTGTGGGTGGTACTGATTAACGAGCAGGGATCCTGATTTTTCTCTGATATAAAAAAAAAAATCACAGATTCTCTGCTAAAACCCCCCAAATCTGTGATTTAAAATTAAAGGCTTCTGCTCCCCCAGTTCTGCCAGAGGGGGCCCCTAGCTGCCAGGGATATGGACCTGGGTCCGCAGCCCCCTGCCCCTACTCTCCCCTTGCTGTAGACATGAGCAAGGTGGCTCCCCACTACTGCATGCACCCCCAGGAGGCAGGGGGGAACCGGAGCCCCCCAGATCTGTACCCAGGGCAGGCACAGGCTGAGGCTGCTGCCCAGGTGGGTGGGGTTTTGGGCCCGGGGGCTGCAATGTGTGGCTGCAGGGCCGTAGCAGGAGCAGGGCAGGGCCACAGGTGGCTTGTCTGGGGGAGGGGGAGGGATGGCTCCCAGCTGCTGTGCATACTCCTGGCAGGCGGGGGAGACCCACGCCCCCCAGATCTGTACCTGGGGCAGGCTCAGACTGCGGACTCGAGCTGCCACCAAGCTTCCCTCCACTGGGACCTCTGGAGCCAGGAGGTGTGACCCGGTATGGCTGGGGACAGCAGGGCGTTGAGGGGATTCCTCACTGGTGCGAGCCCCACCCCCGCCAGGGGGTGCAGGTCTCAGCTGCCCCCCAGGAGTGTGCACAGCAGCAGGGAACTGGCCCTCTCCCTCTCCCAGACAAGCCATCCATGGCCCCGTCCTGCTCCCTGCTAGGGCCCCCAGCCCTGCCTAGCTCCCTCCCTACAGGGGCCTCAGTCCCCCTCTCCCACTGCACTTACCTGCTGTAGCTGCTCTTCAGGCTGCTTCTGGCCACGTGCATATCCATGCACGAGGCACCCCCTGTCTTTCTGCCTTCCTCCCGCTCCCTCCCAGCTCCTTGCAGGCTGGAACTCTGCCAGCCTGCAGGGAGCTCATTGCAAAAATGGCAAAATTTGTGGGTTTCTCTGGTAAAATGAGAAATCCATGTTTGTCTCTGGTAAAGGGCAAAATCCACAGTTAACGCTGTTTTTCCATGGGAAATGGAAAACCCGGATCCCTGTTAATGAGAAACCCCTTTTTCCTTGCATCTAAGTGGGGGACTTGAGGATTGCTCATCTTAAACCCTGCACTGTCACAATCAGTATGCTCCTGGAAAACAGTTGCCTTGGCTTTTCTGAAGGAAGCCTCTCTGAACTGGAACCAGAGTGAGAAGTAAAGCCCAACAAGTACTGAGTAAATAAGTTTCCCTTCTTCTAAGACTGATTAAGCATTGATTTTTTTTCCCCCAATACTTAATTTGCTTTTCTATTGGTGCAAGCAAGGAAAAAATAGTTCAGAATGATCTGAATAAGAGGGAGCTAGTGTAAGGTTGAACAAGGGTCTTTGGGTCCCTGTGGTATGTAGGGTATAGCCTGCCAGTTTCAATGATGTAGAGGCTCCAGTCACTTAGGAAGTGGGAGAGGGTTAAATAAGATGGTTTTAAAGGTGTAGAGAGCAGGCCTGTGCAAGTCAGCAGCGATCCGATCCGGCTGCAGAACCGGCTGTTTCGGATGGCTGTGATCCGATCCAGAGCTCTGGACAGGGTTGCCACCTCAATCCGGCTGAAGCGGCTCCGAAGCGTCAGAGCCGCCTCAGAGATCCTGCCATAGGGTATAATGGGGAATCAATGAAATATCTATAACTTTGTTTTTTTTTGTCTGATTTGGATGAAATTGGCAGAGGTGTTACCCTCTGCTGAGAGCACGAAGCCTGCCATGTTTCAAGAAGATTGGTGCAGGGGTTTGGGGGGAACTGTACCCCAAATTCATGAAAGCCAAACTCATGTCACAGCTGTGTGTTACACCACAGGGGGGTCAAAACTGCAGGGCTGGTAGCTCTTACTGAGACCACAAAGCCTGCCAAGTTTCAAGAAGATCAGTGCAGGGGCTTATGGGGAACTGCCCCTCAAACTGCGGACAAGCAAAACCAGTGCCATGGGTGACACTGCGTGTGCTAAGGCACAGAGGGGTGACAGCTGCAGGGATGGTGGCCCCTGCTGAGGCCACAACGTGTGCCAGCTGTGGAGGAGATTGGTGCAGGAGGGTTCTGGGGCCCTGCACCCCTAGCTGCTGACAGACAAAACTCGTGCCAAGACTGTGTCTGTCTTGGGGCAGTTGATTGTCTGTACTGAGTCTTTCCTCTCCTTAGCTCGGTTTTGTAGGTGCTAATTGATGCTCATTAAGTCATTATATAGTAGCTAGGTCCTGTGTATTGAGCTGGTCCCTGAGTCCCTGAGTGAATCATGATGGATTGATTGGTAACTGGGATCACAGCAGTTTAGCAGCCAGGCCTGCAGCAGTGTCTCCCCTCCCGCCCCAAGGCAGACACAGTCAGTCCCACAGCACCTATGGCGCCAGTTTTGCTTGTCTGCAGCTTGAGGGGCAGTTCCACCCAAAACCCTGCACTGATCTTCTTGAGACTTGGCAGGCTTTGTGGCCTCAGTAAGAGCTACCACCCCTGCAGTTGTGACACATAGACATGATAGGAGTTTTGGTTTCAAGAATTTGGGGTGCTGTTCCTCCCAACCCCCTACACCAATTTTCTTGAAACTTGGCAGGCTTTGTGGCCTCAGTAAGAGCTACCACCCCTGCAGTTGTGACACATAGACATGATAGGAGTTTTGGTTTCAAGAATTTGGGGTCCAGTTCCCCCCAAAACCCTGCACCAATCTACTTGAAACTTGGTAGGATTCATTTTCTCTATAGAGTCTACCACTCCTGAAAATTTCATCTAAGTCAGACAAAAAACAACAAAGTTATAGATATTTTATTGTTTCCCCATTATACCCTATGGCCAGATCT